TGGTCACCTCACACAGCACCTCAAAGACCCACCTGCCACCCTTCCCAGTAGAAACCATGCTGGCCCCCTGCAGAGAGGGGGGTGCCCACCCCCACGGCAGTAGTATCTTTGTCATATGGTCTTGATCCTGGCCTGGTCCCAGGCTCTGACAGGAGGGGACAGAGACCAGGAGGAGGAAAGGCCTGCCTTCCACCAGGGTCTGGGCTGTCTTGATCACTGACCTGCAGAGCCTGGTGTCCAGGAGAGGGGTCGATCCGGGATCCTCGGACCTCGACTCCCTGACCTCCACCCGCCCAGGTGGGTGCGGCTCCTGTGATGATATGTGGGTGAAGTGTGAGTACATTATTTATAATGATGCTGTGTGACATAATGCTGACATGAATTATTTGTATGTTTTTCCAATTAGCCTGCAATAGTCCGGTTGGTTTCCCAGCTGCTTAGCAGCATTCTTAGTGGACGCCGGTAAGCTTCTTCGGCGCCTCCCGTGGAGCTGACCCCCGGCCTGGCTGGGCTGGGACGCACATGCGCACCTCCGTATTTCCCACTGCCCTCGGTCTGTGGGCTGGCCTCCCTAGAGACCAGGTCAGGCCTGGGAGAACATTGGGCCCTGCCCCTCTGTGTTCCCTGGGGGGCCAGGGGCGGGAGTGGAAGGAGGCTACTGGGTGCCATCGGCACCTTGGAGAGCTGTCACTGACCCAGGCCTTAGCCCCTGCGGGCGCGGGAAGCTGGTGTGTGTGGTGAGGCCAGGGCCCGGCCCCTGAGGTCACTCGCACCACTTGCCCCAGGGCCAGAGATCTCTGGATGCCAGGCCCCGCCCTCAGTGTCGTAGTGCGCAGGACCACGCACACAACACGTAAGCACGCAGGCACACGTGCACGCACGCACGCACACGTGCACGCACACACGCATTGGCAGGTTAGGGTCCTGCAAGCAGGTAGTAACGGCCCGTCTGATCTGTGTGATCCTGGCTCTTGCATCTCGTGGGGGTCGCAGACGTCCCTCCCCCGACCCCAGATGCAAGCTTTTGCTGTGTGAACCCCGGCCCGCCCTGGAAGCCCTGCGTGTCCCACCTGCATTTCACTAGCTGCTGCCGCCGAAGCCCAGCTCACGTCTAGAACGGCGGGCCCCGCCCCTCCCGCCGGCCCCTGGTAAGCACACTGCCCACCGAGCCAGAGCCCTGTGGCCCGGCCCTCAGCTTCTCCAGGGCGGGAGGCAGCAGCTGCGGACCAGCTGCCCAGGATGCTGGAGGGAAATTTAGGACAAGAGGGAAGATTAGCGCGTCCGAGTTAAACCGCGCGCATGTAGACATCAAAATAGCACCGCCGTCCTAGTTCACGCGCTGCAAGCCACGGGTTCGCTGCCTAGCGCTGCCGCTGGGAGCCCAGAATGCTCGCCCGTTTTTTTGTGCGGGAGGGGTCTGCCCTGTGCCAGAG